AATAACTTTCAGTCATTAGTTTCAATATAAATCAATGTTGCTAACACATATGCTCAGTAACAAAAACATAGCAATTTATTTCTTCTGTTCTGTTGTTTGGAAGTGAGATAAATTCATCTTGTATTAAAATATTTCCATTAATAGAGTAGACTAGTGACCTACCATTAATTAATCCCAGACTAGCTAAAGTTGGAGATGCAAATAACTTTCAGTCATTAGTTTCAATATAAATCAATGTTGCTAACACATATGCTCAGTAACAAAAACATAGCAATTTATTTCTTCTGTTCTGTTGTTTGGAAGTGAGATAAATTCATCTTGTATTAAAATATTTCCATTAATAGAGTAGACTAGTGACCTACCATTAATTAATCCCAGACTAGCTAAAGTTGGAGATGCATTTTTTGACATTTTCAAAAATGACTATATTTATACCTGATGTTGTTAGCAAACTTGACCTTTATAAATTCACCACATTTTTTCTTCCTGAACCAGTTATATAACACTTCATATTTATGACATGAAGTTTGGAGCAGTGATGGGGAAAAATCTTCCTCGTTGTACTGTAAACATAGAAAAGTCAAACATGTAACATGAAACTACTATAAATAAGGCTCTAATTGAACCCTGGCATGATTGTCAAAAAACTGCAACTGAGTTGAAGACAAGGCATGGAAAATCTCAGAAAAGTAAAAATGGACCTAATTTGTGGTAACTTGGAAAAGACATGACTGCAGAATCATAGGGCTGAGAGCGGGGCTTCTCAGCATAAAAATTGCCAGAGAAGCCTAATGTAACCCTTCTGCCAGGTAGTACTGGCAGCAGCTAGGGCCAGTTTCAATATCTAGGGGGTTCCTTTTCATCCATCTTACACAGAACTGGCTCGAGCTCCCACCCGGTAGCCTGGGAAATTCACAAACCACTGGGTGCCTCTAAGAGGCAATGCTTCCCCACTCACAAATACAGAGACTGAGTGTAGAAAAGAAACTTTTAATGAAAGAGGGAGAGAAGTAACGTGGCATTAGCTTAGAAAAATACCTCAAACTGAGTTAATAACCAAACCACGAGTATATGTCCCAGCTCAAATGGATTGAGCAATGTCCTTTGCTTCTCAGGCTCACAAGGCCAGCAATGTAAGCGACCCATTCACATGCCCAAACTCTCTCCATATGCCACTCATAGTTGCTGCCCTTGGTCAGGGCAGATCAGAGCTCAGAGGTGATTTTCAGAGCTCACCTCCCACCTCCCACCTCAGGGGAGGTGAGGCTAAGAGACATCTCACCCACTTTGTTGGTCACTTTCTGCTGCTCTTGCCATCCACTCCCATCAGCTGCCCGCTGGCCGCCTGCTCCTGTCGCTGCTCATAACAGCCGCCCAACAACTGCTCCTGGAGCCGCCCTGCTGTCTGCCTGCTCCTGGTCAGCTGCCCTGCTGGCCACCTGCTGCTGCTCCTATCATCCGCCCGCTGGCTGCTCCTGCCGGCCACCCTGCTGGCTGCTTGCCCCTGCCAGCTGCTGCTTCCACAATGGGTCTGGCACTGGGCCAACCCTAGTGATTGCAGCTCTTTGCCAGTTTCTCAGAGATTTCAGCTCTAGCCCACTGCCTAGACTGGCCAAATTAGTTACAATACACAAAATTCCATTCTAACAATTGACCATTCATCAGGCCTATAGCACTGACTGAACTGGATTCACATAACCACACCCTGGATTCCTTTCCCATTCCAGCATGACCTGTATCTTTGATATAGGTGAGAGGATTATTCTAAGAGGGGTGGTTGAGATTCTGTGGCCTGCACTGTGCAGGGGGTCAGACTAGATGATCATAATGGTCCCTTCTGACCTTAAAGTCTATGAGTCTATGAGTATTTACATATCAACAGTTGAATATCTTGCAGGGCTAAACTAGTGGATGAGCATAACCACACCTAGGACTCCTCTCCCCTTTCAGCTGGCTCCCTTGGAAGCAGTGGTTCACACTAATATTGTGGGATCCATAATTTCTGTAATATCGCAAAATACTAGGGCCTTAAATATAAACAAATTTGTCAATAAAACAAGTGTCCTGTTTTAACAGGAAAGAAAATCCCTAGAGAACAGATGATTTTCCATGTTAATCTTTAGAAAAGTTTGACTAATTAATTTTCAGAAACACAACAAATGACAGTCTTCATCATAATTTTAGTCACAGAAAAAATGTTTCTAAAAATGCCACAAAATTGATCTGCAGCCCAACCACTCCTCCTTAAATGCATTAGCAGGCATCTAGCAAGCGAGTAGACTAGAAACTTGGGAGAATGAAAATTCAATGTAACATGAAGTCTGTCTCTTTTTAAAATTGCTGGAAGATATTTCAGAGCATGGCATCTTGATTCAGCAGTTGTCAAGTTCACCCAATATATGACAGGTGTAATGAAATGCCCTGATTTTAAGAAAGTTATAATGAGTGGGTTGAGACGTGGATAAATCATGGGATAAGTGATGGTATAGGGAATCTTTTCATTGCCTTATTAAAATTTGTCCCAAGTCAATCAGTAATTGAAAATCATTACTATCTGAATGATACTTCATAGCTACAGTGAAATGTGTTGTGAATTACAGCATTAGTGGACAATGTTATATCACCAAAACCACCCCTACAGATGTCACCTTTCTTTGCAGTCTGCAATGAAGGCAAGAACTGAATGGACACAGAGGCTGATCTATCTTCTATTAATAAATGTTATTCCTCTAGGTCAGCT